ATAAATAATTTTAGTGTTAGAAGGACTAACAGTAACTCAGATGTGTCACAAGGGAACATTCAATGGGTGTGCACCAATGTTTTTTTCCAGATTGATAATGCTACTAGAAATTTCAGGTCTGAGGTTACAGCTTGGTGATAAAACTTGTCTAGCATTGGCAGACTTGTAGCTTGCTCCCCGGAAGCTTTCTGGAGATGGTGGTGGAGGGGGGATTTTGATTTATTTCAGTGGGCCCTGTGGAGGAAAAGCCCAATCCCAGTATGGTGCAGGGAGTGGGAAGATGGCTACCTCTAAATAGTTCATGGAGACAAGAACACAGTAAAACCGCAGCGATCTTATGGTGATGGGAGCTGTCAATCCAAATTTTCATATGAGTGAGCTCCAAATCATAACTTGGTGTGTTTTCAAACAGATTCTTCTCCTTCTGGCTAGTCCCCAAAAGAATCCCATCTCCCTAAACCCAACAGCTACTCAGTAGTTAGGGAAGGCAAAGATGTTCGAATTGTTAACTAGCAGCACTCTGGAAGGGGCGCAATCACCACACAGCACAGCCGTGTGGGAGTATCGGGGGCAAGACTTAGATGACACAGAGGGGAGGGGTCTAGCTCAAGCTCCCAAGCCTCTTTCTTCCCAGTCAGTTGTTAGGGTTAGGGGTTCTTCATCTTAGATCCTGTGCTGTGTGCTCCCTCAACACTATTCTTCTCCCACATAGAACAATGGTAATAAATATTTTAGAATTATATTTCATTTGTGTACAACTTCTATTGGTTTGTAAACTCTGTGGGAGGAGGGACAGTTCCTGCTGTCATGGTCACCAATGTGAGGTCATCTACAGTGTAGGTGCTAGTTGCTGCAAGTTTGTTGGAGGCATATCAGAGGACCTTAACTGATGATTCTGTGGGGGTGGGGGAGAATGATTTGGTGGGCTAGATATGGAATATGAAACAGAAAGTCCAACCAACATTTATCTTACCCAAATCTAACAGAAATTGTCTTTAGCCATTTGAAAGAATCCCTGTCAGTGATTTATAGTTTATTTAAAGCTCCCCCTCTGACATTTCTTCTCTGTGCCCAGAACTTTTTCCCATTTTCTAGCCTACCTGCTCCCTAGAAAACGCTTCTCCTAAGTAGGGCAGTATGACAGAGAGGCGTAGAGAAGTCTCGATGGAAGAAAGAATCCATACTTCTATCTAGTCCAAAGTCTCTCACCCAGCACCCTCCTTCCGCACCAACGAGCACTGAGACTGTGAACGTGCCTCCTTGGCTGCCCCCAAGGCAGGGCCTAATTCCAGGCTTACCACATGTTCCTTCCCCAGAAGGCCCTGAGACGGGGCCCGAGGGGCAAGCTCAGAGGATAAGGGCTGTCTTCCAGACCAAGTCACCTGACCTGCTCTGCTCTGTGGGACTTAGAGAGGTTTCTGGAAATGGGGCAGAGAGAAAAGATGAAAAAATACATGGGGGTGTGGAGGAATTAGTGTTGAAAATTTGAAGTGGCTGGGTTACACAATGACGCTCTGTCACGAGGGAGAGGATGAGAGAAAATGGAGTGGGAGAGGGACCGTGCAGCCCAGCCCTTCTCAAGGGTCCACAGGCAGTTAATGATTTCTTAATAGGGGGAGGGGAAGACTTTTTCTCCAGGGGTGTACCCATTGGTAAGGTATTCATGCTCCTGTAAATAGCCTGTCATCCATGTTTGTGTAACAACTCTAATGAAAGTCAATGGGTCATTAGAAGAAGAGGAGGAAGATATGACGACATGGAAGTAGAAGGGAGACAAGTTGGGAAGATGAAGTGATCAAGAGGAGTGAGATAGTGACAAGAGAAGGTGATGGTGAATGTGATCAAAATCCATTATACATATTATAAAAATGTGGTAATGATGTCCAAGATTAGATATAATTAATACTATAATATTATAAACATTTGTTTTTGTTTTTTTTTTTAAAGAAGGGAACTGGAACTGGGAAAGAAGCAAGATAATGAATAGTTCCACTGGTGCAAAACACCGAGTCCCTCTACTGATAAGCCGACATTCACAAAGTATCCTGATAACTCTCACCCCCCGTGTCTTAACTTTTGTTTATGCAAAGCCATAAAGACTAATAACTTGGGGCTAGAATGATGGCTAGCACTGGCTGCTCTTCCAAAGGATCTGGGTTCAGTTCCCAGTACCTGCATGGTGGATCACAACCATCTGTAACTCCAGCTCCAGAGGCTCTGATGCTCTATTTGAATTCCACAGGCAACAGGTTTGCACATGGTACATATACATAGTATGCAAACAAGACACTGCCACACACAACATCAAACAAACAAAACAAACAAATAAAAATGAGTAAATAAATAAACAAATTTAGACTGGAGTCTGTGGCCTCTTCCACATCTTCCATGCCCCTTCTTATTTCTCTAAATGTCCTTCCTCTTTTCTGGTCACCCTGTCAACTTTGTGGCCAGTCACAGTTGAATGCTGAGGACCCAGGACCAGAACCCAGGACCACCCCCTGCCCAGGTCCTCCTTACTCTACCTACTTTAGACTTAGAAGCAACTGCTACTCCAACACATTAATGCAATGTAGAAACAGTGGCAGCATGCACACTGGGCCCAACCCCACATTTTATCATGGAAATGCAAAACTAGGGCTGGAAAGATAGCTCGCAATTAAAAGCTCTTACAGCGCCTGCAGAGGATCTGGGTTCAGTTCTCAGTATCAATTCACAATTGCATGTCACTCTAGTTCCAGGGGACACCAACTTCTGGGATCTTCAGGCACTGGCATACATGATATACATAAACTCATTCACACACACACACACACACACACACACACACACACACATACACACACACACACACACACACACACACACACATCTTTTAAAGTGCTAAACCAATTTTAAGTCCTCTGTACTTCTGTATGCAGGCAACAGAACATTAATAGGCTGTGAGCCAGAAATAGAAACTGCTCTTTCGTTTTCTACCTGGTGCAAAGACCTCAGGCAGGTCATTAAAACCCTTTAGCCTACATAGAGAATACTAAAATTAAGTGCTAGTCAACAACAAACTTAATAAAAAAGTAAGAATAAATAATTAAAAACTAAGTCCTGTCTGCTTCTAGAATTGGATAAATAGAGGCTAACAGAATCATGTTAGTATCAAAAATCCCAAATTCCCTTAAGGCTCCTTAATAGTGCTAGCTACACTAAGCATGCTGTCAATCCAAGCAGAAATAAAAGAATAAGGGTAGTAGTCTATTTCCCTAACCACTACCACTTAACCCCACCCCCCAGGAACTGGGCTAACTTCAAACATCCAGGCTCATAGACCTTCCACTCTCCTGAGTGACAAGGACTTTGAAGCACTCTATCCGGGACTCCAATCTACTCAGACTTATTTCATGTTGGTTTCTAACTAGAATCTGAACTCACTCTCATATCTTTATTCCCATTATTCACCTGCAGGAGCCTCCTACTGGTGACAAATCTTAACAGACTGTCTTCTTTCAGAAGGTAAATTGTCATAGCTATATGAAAGGATGAGAGAAATGGGAGGAAGGTCTGGGTCCTGCTCTGAGAAGCCCCAGGGTCTAGCTTACTGGATCCCTGAGTTCCACTTTGTGAAACATCTGACCTGAACAATAAAAAGAGGAAAACAAAAAGATCCAGCTTCAGTTCAGATATAGGTCTGTAAAGTTAAAACCTGCATTGTCTCAGGAAAGCACAAGGTACAGACTTTCCTCACAGCCCACACTGTAAGAGTCACTGAAAAAGTCGCTTAAGGGACAGGCTTGGTGGTGCATGCTTGGATCACAAGTTCCAGGCCAGCCTTGGTGGCAGAATGACACTGTCTCAGAGACCCAGGAGGCGATGGTGGGCGTGGTCCTGCATGCCTGCAAATTCCAGCAGGTGGAAGGCTCAGACAGGATAATTGGTTTAAGCCTGAAACCATCCTGGGCTCCAAAGTGAAACCTTGTTTCAATAAATAAATAAAAATGAAAATGAAAAACTTTAGCTGGGAGGAAGTGGCCAATGTCTAAAGGGTAGTATCAGACACCAGCTAGAAGGCCCAGGGAGCTGCCTGAAGTTTGGCAACTAAGCACTGCCATCTCAGCCAGGCCGAGCAGCTGTCGTTACATGTTCCTTAGCTACGTCACAGATTACGATTTTTCGAAATTCACAGGCACTCATATTCCAGCAAAATCTCCAGGCTCACGGGCTCTGTTTGATTTATTCAGTACTTATGATCAGCGTGTGCACACATGCACTGTACTATTTAATTCCAGTAGCTCTATGGGCTAGATGTATACAGTTTTTCAAATATCTGAATTCAAAGCTTACGAGATATATACCAGGCCTGTAAACCCATCTACTTGGGAGACTGAGGCAGGAGAATCAGGAGCTGAAACCCTGCCTATACTACAGAGTGAGTTCAAGTCCAGCCTGGGCAATGTAGTAAGAATCAGTGGGGCAGTTGTGCAAAGCCCTGGATTTGATCAGACAGGGTTAAAAAAACATCACTAACCCCAAGACAGAAAACAGCAATTGACGCAAAGACATGCTTATGATACACCATCCCATTTCTGTGTACTTAGATGGTTGGAATACTGCTTCCATCGCCTTTTCTCAGCCACTGAACTTTAAGATAAATGTGAGGAAGAACTCTATCTTAAGCTCTTCTGTAATCAAAGACTGACAGAATGGGGGAATTGATTAAGATACAGATAAGTGCATCTACATCACAAATAAGTTCTCTCCATCCTGTCAACTGACAGGTAAACAGGAGGAGAGAATGCTTTGTAGAATCACAGTTCCTAAACACAGCAGGGGAAGAAAGCTCTTTATGGCTTCCCTCCTTTCAGCGCTATAGAGGACTGTACTCCTCCCACCAGGTGAAAACCAGCCCATTGGGTCTCCAGAAATGTACCTTCCCTAGAAGATGGAAAATAATATTTCAAAATCTTGGTTACTGTCATCCAATCCCCAGCCCTTAAAATGGCCTTTACCTTCTGTCGGGGAGGTTTTCAGTCTAGTGCAGATATCCTGTACACCTCCATAGTGGGTATTGATCTGGGTCACTGCATCAGCTGCACGGAGCTCCATGAGCTTCCTCATGTCCATCAGTGTGCAGCCAAACTCCCCTTCATTGCTCTCAGCTACTGAGTTGGCTGGCAAGCTATGTCCTGATGGGTTCGTCATTTTGCCTGCAGTTACCAGACTCTCAACCAAAGAAGATGTAGAGTTTCCCTCCAACTGATGAGTGTCTCTTGCCTTCTCTTCCCGTTTCTTCCCCTTCTTTCTTCTCTGGGGGCGCAGTTAGGGGATAAATTGACAATATCTTGTGCAATACGCTTCAGAGTAGTAACACCAAGCCTAGATCCTTTTTTCTATATCAAGTCTACTTGTGAGAGGAGGAAGAGGTTGGGGGAACCTAGTAGAAGACGGACTTGGTGTCACGACGATTGGTGTCCTCTGGGTGGTGATGGAAATAGTTGTGCAGAGTAGGTAGGTTCCTAGCTTAGACTACTTGTCCATATAGAAGTGTAAACAGGATAAGTATGTTACCATGGAGGCAACCTTAGCAACAACCAGCAATCTTGATGATAGAGCAGCAGCGTCAGGAGAAAGAGGAGGGCTCCCTGGATAATGATGACAGCTAGGTCTCTGGAATAGAGATGCAAACAAAGACAAAAAGAAACAATTAGAACAGCCATGAGGATCCAGGATTTGCAAGGTACTTTCCAGCACCAGGGTTTAAATGACAGTTGGTGTCTGAACGGAACTGACAGCTGAGGCCTAAGCTGTGTAGCCAGTCATGGGTGGCCCTGTCCACTGATGATATATCGGATTTATCTCAGAAACACCATCTTTAAGTATTACTTCTTCCAAACCAAGGCACACAAATTAACTTAAGAAACTTGCGTATAAAGGTCATAATTTCTAATGCTTCCCTCACCCCAGGGGCTGACTTATCACAGAATACTTTAGTTTGTCCTTACCTGTAAGATGTGAGAAGAATAAGGAAAGGAACCTAGATCGATTAGCCATATTTTCCCCTACTCCTAACACATTTACAAATCAGGAAGACAGGCTGATAAAAGGTCTCTTAGAATACTCAGCCTTCAGTGGCATGAAAATTTGGAAACCTATGGCAGTTTTATGGCACCAAATTTTGGTTTTACGGCTAAGCCCTCCCAGAGGTTTTTCCTGGTAAGGAAAGAGTAAAACGCTCCAGCGGTTTATGATACAGGGTAGATTCAGTTTTTCTACAAGGGGCAGGTAGACCTCTGAGGAAGAAAGATAGTAAGCCTGAAGCCTCTGAGCATTCAGGTTTCTTCAGTGTAAGAGAGATAAGAGAGCTGTCAGTTCAGCCTGTGCACAGACTGCAACACCGTCATCAGAGTGAGGGAGTACCAGGCTCCTGTTAGCACAGTGACACATCAGAGAGGCAGGCATTGCTCCCCCAGCAAGACAGATGTTACCTGGAGCACATACTGGCTGAGGCATATGGGCACAGTGAAGTGTACGTAAGGATGAGCGGAGCGGAAGGTGGCATAGAGACTGTGCTCAGCTGCAGACAAGGGCTGGCTACATGTCATACATTGGCCTCTCCAACGTGAGGGGTTCAAATATATAGGGCCTCATTCTGGTTAAATAACCACCCTGCAATTGAGTTATGTTACCAATTGGCTGGGTAATAAACAGTTGCCTTTCTTGCTTTCAGAAGGTGAACAAAACCCAAGAGTCATCAGAGAAGGACTGGTTCTTTTTTATTAATTATTTTCTCTAGAAATCCCATTTGACCAAAGCTCCTGCTGCTCCAACCAATCCTGTTTCAGGCAGGTTCCTCTGGGATGAAGGATGTCACAACTCTCCCTCTGCCCTAGCCACCTTCCCAATAGTCTGTCTTATAATAAGTTAGGCAAGCAGGGAATCCTGAGGAAAAGAGATCTGAAAAGAGCCTAGGGCAGTGGGTCTGCTCCCTCATTCAGGCTGGAGAAGGGGCAGAACCAGTGCTAGCAGTCCCCTCTCATTCAAAGCCCTCAGAGAAAAGAGTTGAGGATAGCACAAGAAGGGGCACCCGTTAACGTAACGGTACTGTCACAATTGCCTCATTTTGTTCTTAATGATTTCTGTCAATTTTTTACTGTACCTAGTTGTACATATGCTTATAGGAAAGAGGCAAATGTTGGGCCAAGGTCTCTCATTGACCTAGAGCACCCCAATTAGACTAGGCTGGCTAGTCAGTGACCTCCAGAACCCCCTGTCTTTGCCTACCCATTGCTGGGATTACAAGCACATCCCACCACCCTGGCTATTTATGTGGGTGATGAGGTGCTGACTTTACCAAATGGGCTCTCCCTAGTTTCTGTGCCGAATTCTAAACTAAACCTTATCACCAGGTACAGTGGCGTCTATCTATAATCCCAGCTCTCAGGAGGCTGAGGCTTAGTCTGAGGTAAAGCAAGGCCCTGCCTCTAAAAGTAAATGCTGTAAGTATTTTCATTTAGGGAACAATCTTGCATGTTATGTATCCACAGGGTTCTGTTCTACTCAGAGCTCCAGTGGGTCTGTGGGAATGTATCTTCTCCTATCAACGGTCACAGGACTTTTTCCCAGTTTTGTTCTTCAAGCCTGGAAGGAATGAGAGGGACTATAGCAGCAAGAGACCCATCTTGACCCTTAACCTTTGAAGCAGATGTCCAGGCAGCTGGTGAGCATGAAGCTGAAAGTCAGATTTTACTTTACTTTTCTTTTCTACTCTTTTACTTCCTTCTATTCTTTTTTTCTTTCCTTCCTTCCTTCTTTTTGAGACAAATTTCTCTGTGTAGCCCTGGCTGTCCTGGAACTTGCTCTGTAGGCCAGGCTGGTCTCTAACTCAGAGATCTGCCTGCTTCCTGAGTGCTGGGATTAAAGGCGTAGGCAACTATTGCATGACAGATTTTTACTTTTCTTAATTTAATTTTTTTTCATTTTATTATTTTATGTATACGTGTATTTTTCTTGCATGTATGCCTGTACACCATTTGTAAGGCCTGGGATCCAAGGAGGCTATAAGAGGGTGTCAGATCCTCTGGAACTTGAGTTACAGATGGTTGTGAGCCACCATGAGGGTGCTGGGAATAGAACCTGAGTTCTCTAGTACAACAGCCAGTGCTTGTAACTGCTGAGCCATCTCTCCAGCCTGTACTTTTTTTTTTAAAAGACAGTCTTGCTGTGGAGCCAGGTTGGCTGTATGTTTATGATACCTGAGCTTCTGCACCTCAAGTTCTGGGATTACAGGTGTGAGCTATTACTCTCTGTGGAAGCTTTTTACTTTTTCTGTCCCTGCCTACCACAGTGTTTACTCTGTAAAGCCAGGGATCCTTGTACTCACCTTGCTCTCCATTGCACAGGAGATAACTTGTTTCTAGTAGACATTTAGCTGGTATTTTTATAATGAATGCACCAGAAGCACATTCAGAAACACACCCGTTACTTTCCCAATCACCTTCAGCAAGTCACTTAGCCTACTCAGGACCTTTAATTGGCAGAAGAATCAGCCCTACCTAATACATCATGCTAAGGAAGTAATAAAGGAAGGGGGTTCTGGACCTAATGAGCGAGCATTTCAGAATGTTGGAAAGATGTTGGGCGTTTAGCCTAGGGCTTTCAAGCAATGGAAGAAAACTTTACTTGATCTGAGCGAACTTTTGTTTTCTTATTCTTTAAGCAGCAGAAGGGCAATTGCTCCATGAATCTCTCCATTTTTCCTCTCCAGGGAGTACCAACCCTTTTAGAAAAAGAAAATTCTAAGGCAGCTTCCTTAACAATACCATGAACTGGGTTGCAATCACTAACAATGGTCATTAGCATCTATAGTCCTGAGCCTTAAGAGAATGAGAAAGGGCAGTCTAATCCAGTCTCTAAACCTTTCCTCAGGTTCAGAGAAATAAAGTCTTCCTCCCACACAGGCGGCCCATGGAAGCGCGCACAGAAGATCAGAAGGCAGAACGCTACAGAACTGCTTCAGGAGAGGCAGAGACATATACACGACAGGCCAGCTATCCAGCCATTAGTACAGAGGCCAAGGAGCAGTGTATGATGGAGACCTCAGGTTTCAGTGGGATCCACTGAAGTCCTGCTACACCGAGGGACACATGAGGTTTATAGAATGTGAGCTCTTGGTAACTGCTGAGCTTGCTCCTACCCTTATTAGGCAACTGCCAAAGAAGAATCTCCAGCCCAGGAGGTGCTGGCTCGGTCAGGTCAGGATTAGTCAGTCACTCGAAGGAAAGCATTCTGGCCTAGGTATGTTCTTGATCCTGTCCCCAGCTTTTTCTAACCCGGGGGCAGGAAGGCTGAAGTCTCATCCTTTCTTCCTGGGACAAGAAATCACATTACTTCATGTGCTCACCAGCCCTGCTTCCCGACCCACCTGGGATGCACGCCACCCACACCTCCTGATAAGCAGTGTGTAATGAGGCTCACTAGCAAGTACCCCAAGTAAGACAAAAACCCTATGATCCGGATCTCCAAAGCTGGACAACAGCCTGATAGTCTTTCCCTCCGTTCTGTCCGAGGACCCCTTCCTCCCAGAGACTCTCCTGGGTTACTGAAGAAGGCATTTGTTTCCACACTATCACCTGCCTGTGGAGGTGACAGAAAAGGTCATCTTTGTGACATGGAAGGACTCTGTCCCCTGATCCTCCCATGCCATAGGTGCCACTGAAACTGGATGAGGCACAGGAAACAAAGCACGCTTGGAAACAGAGGAAGGGGCAGAGGGGACCTGGGCTTGGGCTTGCAGCACTGCAGACAGACTTGCCTGGGATAGTAAGTGGCATAGGTCATTCTACCGGGGCTGCTTGAGAGAGCAGACACTCATGTCCTACTCTATTTCTGTCCCTTCCTCTGGGGCAAGATCTTTTGCTTTAGGGTGAGGTGTTAGTACTTGGGGATACTCTAGGAATCACTGTGAAGCATGGTGGGAGGGTGATGGAAGAAAGCCCTCTGGGTGGGTAAGAAGGCTGGTCCTGTCTACAGATGCACCAAAGTGAAATCTGAAGGCTGCTACTGAGGTACCCGTCGTCTTCTCTGACAAGTCCACCTCATACCAAACGAGGTTTCAGTTTTCTCACATTCAGGAGCAGGGCAGGGGTGAAGAGAGGTGGGAAGGAGGCAAATACTATATTTTTTAGTACATTCAATATGTTAGGTGCCATACATGTGAAAATGAGAATGATACTAAGTGTATATGATATGAAGGCAAATATTTTATAGCACCTAGTACAGTAGCTGGAAGGTCCTGGGTGCTGTGTACCCAGTAGCCATTATCATTATCACACAATCTGTGCCACCAAATGCTCATCAAAAACCTTATTTTACAGAAGACAAATTATGGCTTTAGAGAGCCAGCATTTGAGTCCTAGCCTGAACCCAAATCCACTCTACCTCAAAGACAAGACCAAAGTTACAGGAAAGTGAAAACAAAGCTATAGATTTATTCCCTAAACTGCAAAGGCCCATAGAAACCTACTGGTCCCTTGCTCATGACCCATAAAATAAAGGCTTTAAATAGGTGAGAGAAAAACACCTTTTGACTTTTCTAGGCTGTTGGTAGACTCAAAGCTCATCATGGAAAAACACTGCCCAAATTTTCCTCTCTCACCCACCCTGCATCA